GTGCGACCACTCTATTAGCACGTATGTGAAGCACGAAAGATTCGCGCCCTAGGAGAAGGGTAATTTATAGGCACAGACGTAAAGCACTAAGATGGGTTCGTATTCCAAGAGAAGGCTGATCTATTGGCACATACGTTAAATACATAAGGATTCGTGCCCCATGGGAAGGCCAGTCTATTTGCACACACGTAAGACGCGAAGGATTCGTGCTCCAGGAGAGGGCGGATCTATATGCACATGCGTAAAGCACGAAAGGTTCGTGCCCCAGGAGAGGGTCAATCCATAGGCACATACGTAAAACACGCAGGGCTCGTGCCCAGGGGGAGGCAAACCTACAAGCAAATGGGTAAACCACGAAAGATTCGCGCCCCTGGGAAGGGCCAATCTAAAGGCATACGCGCGAAACACAAAGGACTCGTGCCCCAGGAGAGGGCCAACCTATACGCACATGTGCAAACACACAAAGGATTCGCGCCCCAGAAGAAGGCAAATCTCTAGGCATCACGTAACACGCTAAGGATTCGCGTTCTATGATACGGCCAATATATAAGCACGCACGTAAAACACTAAACATTCGTGTCCCCAGAGTAGGCCAATCTATAGGCACATGCGTGAAACACAGTGGACCCGCGCCCCAAGAGAAGGCCAATTGGCACATACGTTTAATACAAAGGATTCGCGCCCCAGGAGAAGGCCAAGACAGCTCCAGGAGGCACCAGGAGGGGCCAAGACAGCCCCAGAAAGCACCAGGCGGCCCCAGGAAGCCCCGGTGAGCTGCGGGAGGCCCCAGGAGGCTCCCGGGGCTCACCGGGCTTTCTTTTTTTAATGATTATTTTTGAATGAACGTGGGGAGGGCTCTTGCCTATCAGAGGGTGCCGCACAGCAAAGGGGCATGTCCAGCACCAAGGATTCTTTTTTGATCAACTTGGCGAGGGGTCTTGCCTAGCATAGGGTGCCCCACAGCAAAAAAGAGCATGTCTAGCACCAGGCATTCTGTTTTAATTAACTTGGGGAAGGGTCTTGCCTAGCAGAAGGTGCCGCGCAGCAAAGGAGCTCACCTTGAAGAGGGTGCCGCACAGCAAAGGGGCACATCTAGCACCAAGGATTCTTTTTTCATCAACTTGGGGAGGGGTCTTGCCTAGCAGAAGGTGCCGCACAACAGATGGGGCACGCCTAGCACCAATGATTCTTTTTCAATCAACTTGGGAAGGGCTCTTGCCTATCAGAGGGTGCCGCGCAGCAAAGGGGCATGTCCAGCACCAAGGATTCTTTTTTGATCAACTTGGCGAGGGGTCTTGCCTAGCATAGGGTGCCCCACAGCAAAAAAGAGCATGTCTAGCACCAGGCATTCTGTTTTAATTAACTTGGGGAAGGGTCTTGCCTAGCAGAAGGTGCCGCGCAGCAACGGGCCTCACCTTGAAGAGGGTGCCGCACAGCAAAGGGGCACATCTAGCACCAAGGATTCTTTTTTCATCAACTTGGAGAGGGGTCTTGCCTAGCAGAAGGTGCCGCCCAACAGATGGTGCACGCCTAGCACCAAGGATTCTTGTTTAAATCAACTTGGGGATGGCCATTGCCTAACAAAGGGTGCCACACAGCAGATGGGGCACGTCTAGCACCAAATATTCCTTTTAAATCAACTTGGGGAGGGGTCTTGCGTAGCAGAAGGTGCCGTTCATCAGATGTGGCACGTCACGCACCAAGGATTTGTTTTAACCAACTTGGGGAGGGCCATTGCCCAACAAAGGATGCCACACAGCAGATGGGGCACGTCTAATATTCTTTTTAAATCAACTTGGGGAGGGGTCTTGCCGTCTTAGCGTCTTCACCCGGAATAGCGTCTTCACCGTCTTCACCGGGAATAGCGTCTTCACAAGGAATAGCGTCTTCACAGGGACGCGTCGTCACAGGGAATCGCGTCTTCAAATAGCGTCTTCGGCGCCGGCGCGAACTGGGAACCCCGGTTGCCGGGGCAATGAATATTATCATACGTGAGACCGGTCAGCCTCCACGCTGATTGTTCACGACACCTGGTGCGGCGCATGTGCAACTCGTTTCTTCATTTTCAGGGGTCGATTGCGGACACAATCATACCGATGGGACTTTGGAAATAGGCACGTGGTTCACCCCGTTCAAGCCAGTGCAGCTGCGACAGGACGCTCTGGAGTTCACACCACCGCGTGATGGCGGCCTTCCTCGCCGCCGCAGCCTTGTTCTGGGTCCTCCTCTTCTTCGTCACGACGAGGAGGAGGAGAAGGAGGAGGAGGAGGAGGAGGGGGAGGAGGAGGAGGAGCAGGAGGAGGAGGAGGAGGAGCAGCAGGAGGAGGAGGAGGAGCAGGAGGAGGAGCAGGATGAGGAGGAGGAGGAGGAGGAGGAGCAGCAGGAGGAGCAGCAGGAGGAGGATGAGGAGGAGGAGGAGCAGGAGGTGGAAGAGGCGCGGGGACGACGGGAGCGGCTGCTGGAGGCTGCCGCGAGCGTGACGCCGGCTCCTCCGCCACGCTCTGCTGCGGGAGCCGCCCGCTCCTCCTCCTCCTCCTCCTCCTCCCTCCTGCTGCTGCCTCCTCTCCTCCTCCTCCTCCTCCTCCTCCTCCTCCTCCTCCTCCTCTCCTCCCCTCCTGCTCCTCCTGCTGCTCCTCCTCCTCCTCCTGCTGCTGCTCCTCCTCCTCCCCTCCCCTGCTTCTCCTCCTACCTCCTCCTCCTCTTCTCCTCTTCCTCCTCCTCACTCCTGCTCTCTCCTCCTGCTGCTGCTGCTCCTCCTCCTCCGCCTCCTCCTCCTCCCTCCTCCTCCTCCTCCTCCTCCTCCTCCTCCTCCTCCTCCTCCTCCCTCCTCCCCCTCCTCCCGTCCTCCTCCTCCAACTCCTCCTCCTCCTCCTCCTCCTCCTCCTCCTCCTCCTCCTCCTCCTCCCCTGGAGGACGTGGGTTATGAGGACGGCCGCAGGTGGGACGTCTGGGGCCGCTGCTGGTGCTGCGCCGGCTCCTCCGCCAGTGTATCCTTCCGCTCCGGAGTCGTGGGCCAGTGGGCAAGACCGAGATGAAAGTCTGGGCAGAGCACGAGGACGGTCTCTTGAGCTCCGCTGCCGACAAATTCTACCAAGCATGTCTCCGCGAGCACGTGCAAGGGCAGTGCTGTGCCACGGTATCTTTCGAGGCACTATCTAGTGTTGCACCGCATTTTCCGACACTCGTTCTTTTCGGATCTGTATACCACGTTGAGGACAGCGGAAGTAATGTCACAGTTGAAGCCTGGGCGAATGCTACTCATTCCCTTCACCGATGTGCTGCTATTCCTGTTCCGTAAGTTCGTTTCGCGGATCCGCAAGCTAGGCTTCGCCTCGTGTGATCACCCCGTCGGCACATGGAAGTTGATCGGGAAGCTCCTGAGCTCCCGCGGCAGATGGTCGAGAGATTGGCCAGCAGCACCGAGCCGCCGCGGTCTGTCTCGCCTGGCGAGCTGCTGGGTCCGCCTCGATTGGCTCTTGGGCTTCGGCCTGGGGGTCGCTGGGGCCTGGTCCTTCGCCCCCCCCCCCCCCCCTGCGGCCTCCCTCTCTCCTCTGCTTCTCTCTCCTCCTCCGTCTGCGTCTCTCCTCTCTCGGGGGGGGCGGGGGCTGGGCCTGCCGTCTGGGGGTGTGTTGGTGGGGGCTCCGGCTGGTGCCTCCTGGGGTTCCTCGTCGCCTTCACTCGCTGCGCTTCCGTCCAGTCTCAGGCACCCCTGCGCTGTGGGCAGCCACCTCAGGCACTCCTGCACCTTTTCGGTGACTGCGCCCAGGGCGCGGCGTCAGCTTGCTCCACTTTCGGGCTTGCTGCTGCCTCTGCCTTGTTCTTCACCCGGTGGTCTTCTCGCTCTCTTTCTCTCCAGTTCGGCTTCGGACCTCTGGCCGCACGACCGACCGACCGATCGAGCAGGAGGAGGAGGAGGAGGAGGAGGAGGAGGAGGAGGAGGAGAAGACAGGGCCCCAAGAGACGAGAGGGCAATCAAGAGCAAGAGACGAGGCAGACGCCCGTCAGGGGGCAAGAGAGTCCTGTGAAGCCCGCCGCCCCTCGAGAAGGTTTTCGAAGCACCAGCGAGCCTCAGTGTGGGGGCACGAGGCAACTGCGACAGGAGGAGGAGGAGGAGGAGGAGGAGGAGGAGGAGGAGGAGGAGGAGGAGGAGGAGGAGGAGGAGGAGAAGGAGGAGGAGGGAGGGGGGGAGGCCTGATGATGCTGTGTTTACTGATGCTGATGTCAATGATGATACTAAGAACGATGACGATGATGCTAACGCTGATGCTGATGCTGCTGATGATGATGATGGTGATGATGATGATGCTGCTGCTGCTGCTGATGATGATGATGATGATGTTGATGCGGATGATGATGACGAAGCTGGTACTGCTGATGCTGATGATGCGGATGAAGATACAAAAGGTGATGATGCTGATGAGGATGATGATGCTGCTGATCATGCTGGTAACACTGATGCGGATGAAGACACTGATGCTGATGATGATGACGACGATGATGCTGATGGTGATGATGATGCTGATGTTGACGATGATGATGAGTGGAGGAGCAGGAGGAGGAGGAGGAGGGGAGGAGGGATGAGGAGGAGGGAGGGGCTGGCGGCAGGGGGGGGCTGATGATGATACGATGCTACTGGCGAAGGGGTTGAAAGAGCTAACAATAGGAGGCTGACGATGATGATAATAATGATAATGATGATGAGTATGTTGATGATGAGGATGCTGATGATGCTACTGATGACGATGACGATGTCGATGACGACGACGACGCTGATGATGATGGTGCTGATAATGACGATGACGATGACGATGACGACGATGCTGATTCTGATGATGCTGATGATGACGATGACGACGATCATGACGATGATGATAATGATGATGATCATGATGACGATTCTGCTGATAATGATGATGCTGATAATGGTGATGATGCTGGTGGTGGTGGTGATGATGATGATGATGCTGATGCTGATGAGAGGACAGCATGCCGAGCAGGGCATGATACGCCGCCGATCACCTCATGACCGCTCAGAAGGCCGCCACGAAGGCCTTCAGGCGAGCCTCGCAGAGCTGCGCGGCCGCGGCGGTGAGCTAGGAGTTCACCTGGTCGATGTAAGAGTGCGTGGACGAGTCGTTGGGCTTCTTCAGCTCGGTGGTGGCAAACTCAGGCAGCGCGTAGCCGACCTTTCCGTTGATGTTGGCGTACAGGGCGTCGAGCTTCTGGGCAGAGGCCGCGGACGGGCTGGAGAAATTGCCCTTGGCCTCCGCGGCGATCTTCTCCACCTCGGCGGCCTCGGCGGCGGTGGCCATGGAGGTCTGCTGGAATTCCTTCTCCACGGCCTGCTGCGCAGAGGCAACGCGCTCCGGCAGGGTGCCGGTAGGGAGGAGGAGGAGGAGGAGGAGAAGGAGGAGGAGGAAGAGGAGGAGGAGGAGGAGGAGGAGGACGGAGGAGGACCCTGCAGGGAGCCGAAGGCATCGTTGACATGCTTGGCCACGGGGTCGTCGCTCGCCGTCAGAGGCTCGCCCGCCAGGCTCGTCACGGCCGCCGCGGAGGCGCTGTCCTGAACGGCCCTCTCTCTTTGGGGAACTTCCCCTTGAAGGTCGAGGCCGCCTCGCGCACGACCAGCTCCTACATGGCGGCGCCCATGCCAGCCTCGAATGACGCGCTGGCCTGGAGCTGCTTCGCGGCGCGCTCGGTGAGGTCGTCCCTCATCTTCTGAACCAAGGCCCCAGGGTAGGACGCGATCTTGGCCTCGGTCTCGGCCCTGAACTCCTCCAGGTACCCCACACACTTGGCGTCGTTGGCGAAGCGCTTCATAGACGTGACGATTGTGTCCTCCTCGCCGTCCATCACGTCCCGCGCCGTCTTCTGCGCGGCCATGAACTCGTTTCGGCGGGTCACCTTGGCCACCATGCGGTTCATGCAGGACCACACGGTCCAGCACCACATGGAGGTGCCGAACACCTTAACTCCGAAGTAGTAGTTGAAGAAGGGGGAAACTTGAAGATCATGATGCCAGTGCCGAAGGTGAGCCAGTGGTCACGGAGCATGCCCTTCCTCTTGACCTTCTCCCAGTCGAGCTCTCCGATGTGGCTAGCCTCGATGCGGGTCCGCATGCAGAACTTGTAAGTGTCCTCCTCCGCGATGTCAAACATCACCGAGAGCTCGGGGTAGTGAAACTTGCAGTCGGCGGGAAAGGTGAACTGAACGGCGTTGCGTTCCGAGTCGGAGTAGCCGTTCTTCCACATCAGCGCTAGCAGCTCCTCCGTCGAGATGTAGACGTCGCTCTTTACTACTACTGGCCCAGCGTTGATGCGCTCGACGAACGCCTTGAACGCCTCTGGCCGGTCCTCTTTGTCGGTGACCACCTTCAGGTATCTCAGGAAGAGCGGCACATCGTTGGTGAAAGACACCAGGTGCTTCCTCTCGGGCATCGCGATCAGGAAGTCATCCCACTCGACGCCGTCCTTGCCAGGCTTGACTATGTGGTACTTTGTGATGTGAGCGCCTCCTGGGCCCTGCAGCGCTGGCAACGAGACGCTGAAAAAGCCGCGGGACAGCGGCTTCGGCAGTGCCCTCACCGACAGCCGGCGCGCGTGCACGGAGGCGAGCATGGCTGCGCAAGGGCTCCAGCAACACGCGGCCTGCAAAAATGCGGCCTGCAAAAATAAAGGCGGCCCGGGAAGGCCCGCGCAACGACACTCGGGCTTGAGACAAAATGGCTACGGGCGATGATGCTGCTAATGATGATGCTGATGATGATGCTGGTGGTGATGTTGATGCAGATGATGATGCTGATGATGATGCTGCTGATGTTTCTGCTGATGGTGATGATGATGCGGCTGATGATGCGGCTGATGATGATGATGATGATGATGATGAGGATGAGGATGATGATGATGATGATGATGATGATGATGATGATGATGATGATGATGATGATGATGATGATGATGATGATGATGATGATGATGATACTGATGATGATGATGA